GCCTCCCTCCGTGGTCGGAGACGTATTTATTGTCACGGCGTTCGACCGGGGGGGGGGGGGGAATGGAAACATTCGTTTCCTCGGTTCACGCTCAACGATCGGACGTTTTTCCCCGTTTATCGGGCAATTAGGATCTCGCGCGTGAGTTTCCGACAGAAATATCCACTCGCATTCGATCGGCCCTCCCGCTACGACGTGTATTTATTTTTCGATGCATGATTTAGCAGCACTGAAATGCCACGACAAATGGAAACGAATAGCGCCTCGCTCGCTCAACAGAAAGTCGGGCTTCAAGTGATAGTTTCCGGTCGACGGCGTTCAGGAAATTCACTTCACATGAAAAATACTGAATGAATTGAACTCATGCTATTTTATCCTTTTAATTAATTTTCTTTGTTCTAAATTTCTTCGTTTACCTAAAACTGATTTCTCATAAAACTCGATTTATTAAAAATTTCTGTATTTGTTTGAAATTTTCTTTATTTAAAGCGAAAAAGAAAGCGTCCTTTTTAATCGTCCAATTTTTAACGACACCGGCGCGCTTAAGTACGGTGAGTTTGGGGGAAAAAAAAGGGGGAGGGAAGGGGATAAGGTGTCGACGGTCATCGGCGTCCTTATCGTCGACGAGCACTCGGCGCATTCGGAGAGTGCATGTAAGCGAGGCGCGCAACTTGCGCGCGATAATTACCGAGTTGGTCAACCTGTTCGTAGGCCCGGCTGTATACGCGGGTTATCTAACATTTAGCGCCAGATGTCCATCCTACCCGGCCAATTTCCTCCGACGGTTACACGTAAACACACACACGCATACGGGCGTGTACGTGCGTGTCCGCGCTTTGCTGTTGCGCCCGAGCGGCGCAACGCGAAGGGTCCGCATTAGGTCCGCGCCCGTACATATTGTTGGACGCGGCGTAATTGTGGCCACTACGACGACGACGACGACGACGACGACGACGGAAGTGTCAGATTAGAATCTGAGATGCTCCCGGGAGCACGCGATGCTTGTCCTAAACCCCCTCAAACTATTAGGCGGCCCTCTCCGGGCTCTTCGCTACCCCCGGAGGGCACAGCCCTTAAACGCTCCCCGCCAGTGGTGCTTTCACCTGCGAGAACATTGCTTCGGATAATGATACCACTTTGATACTAGCTCCGTATCGCAATCTCTAGTTCAAATCTGAAATTGGAAAAAGAAAACATAATTTTTGCCGAATAATCTCGAAAATTAATTTTTGAAACTGTATTTTTTTTTCAACAATTTGAACGAGTGATTTAAATTTTATATAATAATTTTAGCATTAAAGTGAGAAAGTAAAATAATAATCTTGAAAATTAATCTTTACGATAAGAACTTAATTTTCAACGATCCGTGAATGATTAATATTTTTGTTAACGAGGAAACTACTACAGATATGAGAATCAGAATTTACGATCCTACATTCAAGATCTGCAATTCTTTTCAACACGACTCTGTACGCTAATCGACGTCCGCCGTCTGTCTTACCGATCGTATCGATCATTGTCCGCTGGGCCAGAGAGTATTTATCCTGCTTCTCTGCTAAACCACTTGCCGAGAGATCGTATCGAGCCCACGCGACGGGGCACAGATTACCGACGCGCGAAACGCCGAGGCAACCGATCTTCTCGCGAAATGGGATCGGTGCGGTAATCGACAGGTTCGGTGATACCGTTCCGCTTGGCAGTACATACATACATAACATACGTATATATTGCGAGCCGAAAGAGAGAGAGAGAGAGATAGAGAGCAACCCGAACGTCTGCACGGGCCCGTGAAGATGATCGCCTTTCCCCGACGCGATCTGTCGAGTGCATCTCGCCGCGCGCCCTCAAAGAGATCGGCGATCTCGAAATCTGTACGGCCGGAATAACATTTCCATCGCGTTAGCATAAAATTATCCGCGTGCCATTACCGTTCATTAGCAAGTCAAATTGGCCGCTCGCCAGATTGAGCACCACTGGGGCCCCCCCTTTTTCGGTGGAACAACCGGTGGGTAGAGCTCGTGGCGGGCGATGGGCACCGGCGGACGGTGCTGACCGGCTGACCAACCCGTTTCCTCGGTGAACCGGGGTTAAATCGAAATAAAGCGGGGTACTCCACCGTCGCCCACCGCCTACCCACCGGACGAACCCTTTTCGCTATCTGATTGACGACCCCGTCCGTGCTCTTCACCTGTGAACGACATATGCGCGTGCGACTCCGCTTCGACGACAGTGTGATCGCGCTCGTGTTAATTTGTCGATGAGATAACGCGCGCGGTTTGCCTGCAAAAAGAAGGCCATTCGTGAGACGATTAACAACGACATCCTGGCACCGACAAACGCTTTTTTTTTTTTTTTTTTTTTTTTGGAAGAAGATCGCGCGGGTAAGAATCGCTAAAAATTTTCATTTGCAGCGCAAGAAGTGAAAAGTAAAATTAACGGTAAATAAAGGACAAGTAAAATCTTTATTGTAAAGCTGAGGAAACGGAAATTGTCGGCAAAAGAATTTTCTTTCCTCCTTTTACTTTAATTTACCGTTTATATTATACATATGTTGCAGCAAGTAGCTACGCCGACTGTGGTAAAAAAAATTTTACGGATGAAACAGGAACAACCGACGATGTTCGCCTGGGAAATCCGCGAGCAGCTCGCGCGGCAGGGAGCTTGCGATCCCCAGAGCTTACCCTCCGTATCGTCGGTGAATCGCATCCTCAGAGGCGGCGGGCTTCACACCGATATCCCTACCATCGAGAGCGGCACATCCGGCGGATACACGTCGCAAATTCCGTCGAACGCTGGAACCAGAGGTAAGAATTAGTATTATAATCGGGGCCATAACTCTTCGTTATCGTCATCGAGGCGATCTAAGATTTATGAATGGAGAAAGAAAAAGATGAGTGATAGGCTTCGAGATCGCAATCGAGAGAGTAAGAGACGCATATTTTCGCCGCGGAGCTTCGTGAGTCATTATATGCAGGCCGAGGCTGCGTTGCACCATTACAGGCTAATGACGCCTTAAACACCTGTCCCTAGCGTGGAATTGGTCTCCGCGGCGGCGGATTTTTTTTCCTTTGCCGTTATTTCCAGAAGAAAGACGGTAAATGTCCGAATACGGCAACGGGTAGAATCGAAGGAGAAGAATAGGGAGAACGAAACGCGGCAGTAAGGCCGGAGGGGGGCGAGAGGGCGAAAAAGCCAGATCTCGAGACACCCCGTTGCTGTGATTGACTCGTCAGCAAAAGCCACGCAGGGGCCGGGCAGGGCAACAGACACGCAACCCCGCGCTGTCGAAACGGAAAATTTGCACCGCAATTTGTGCCGTTGGATGCTGGAAGCGGTGCTCAATTTACCGGCTTTGAGCAGCTAATTGCAAAACCAGCGCTCAAATCCTCTTGTCTTCATCTTTCTCTCCAAGTATTTCGCTCACGCAGTGACAGCTAAAAGTGTATTTCTGTATTATCAAAATATCATTGTATAAAACGATACAAATATTATAATAAATTCAAAGAAGCAGATCAATCTATCAGTAAGCACAATTTTTTCAAGAATACACGTGGAAAATAATTTGGAATTAAACTCAGGCTTTTTTTCAGCAAATAAAAACTAAAAATATTTTATATTTCTAACGAAAATAATACGTGAAATATTAGAATCTCGCATTATTAAATAAGGGGAGAATTTATTTTTTAATAAATAAAAAATAAGCACACGGCGAATCTATTAAAAATTCAGCACGGAAAGGAAAGAGGAACATGTGCATTGACGTCTCTTGACAGCTTCTTCAGGATGAAGGATCGGGCTATTTAAAAAAATGCAGATTTTTTTAGCGATTAGAATTTGATCGGCTCTTGTATATTTAATTTCTTATTATGTTTAATTATATCATCATCTGTTATTAGTATAAAATACGAAAATATATGTCCGTGCTAGTGCTCGGAAATTTCAGGCGATTGACGAGTTCGGACAGTCCGAATCTCAAGATCTGACATCAAATAGTTCGAATTTTTCGAACTGAAGATAAATGTGAAATAACTTCAGATCTGAAAGATCGAAAATTATTGTAGGATTTTGGTTGTTGAGAATCTATTTAGTTAACATAAAATTGTGATTTGCAAACAGAGATGTATATGTAAATAGAAATAACTACAGACAGCCAATTTCAAAAATCGAAAATTAATTAATGTACAGACATCGACAGAAAGTTGTTCAGTTTATTGAGAAAAAAGATTCTCAGCATACCGAATTATTGTTCATAATTGTAAAAAGGAAAAGACAGTAAAACTAAACATTCAGAGTCTTAACTCTTCCATTTTTAAAAAAATGTTTCACCACACTCGAACTCTCAGATTGTTCGTATAATCAAACTCTCTTATTCTCGTCTTTATATGCATCTTGTTTTTAACGATGGCTACGAATTCTTACGAAAATTTTGGAGAGGGACTCAACCATCGCTCAAGTGTCCTGGTGGAACGTTATTTGGCCGATCACATCAATTGATTGAAAGAAAAGAATTAAATAAATAAAAATAATGTCTCTTTATTATTATAGTTTAAACTTAAATCATTTTTCAGCTTAATTTTTTTTTTTATTTGAACTATCCGAACGGATTCAATTCTTTTGTCAGACGCCTAGTCTTATAAAAAGTTCTTAATAAAAATATAATTTGAACGATACAATATCCATAATGATTTTTTAACAAGCGAAGTAATTGAGAAGCGACAATAACGAATGCAATCGTTCTCTTCCAGACACGCTCATGAGAACGGACTATCAATTGTTCTACCCGGGAGCTCTAGGACCGCTGCACATCTCCACGAATACCGGCACCACCGGCACATCGTCGTGGAATCAGAGCTTTTACTCGTCCCTCTATCAAGCGACAACCTTGCACTTGCAGCACGGGATGCAGTCGTTCGCGTAAGTTCCTTCCGAACAGAATTGATTCGACAGAATTAGAGAAAAAAAATTACTTCACAGACACTTTTGCACAAGTGAATTTGCTTATAAACGTATGCTTACAGACCTCTAGACGCTGAACGCCTGTCGGAGCAAAATGGCGCGCAAAGTCAGCTGGAGTTGAAGTCGAGCTCGAGCTCGACAGCTGGTAGCGACGATTCGCTGGACAAGAGCGACTTGGACGAGAATCTGGTCGAGTCGCAAGACCATTATAAGTCCTTCCGCAGCACGCCGATCATTCTGGAGCTCAGCCAGAAGATCGGCAGCGATCGGAGCGCGTTTGTCAGGCACGGCACGCCCAATTCGCAGGTCGCGAATATGGACAACTCGCGAGGGAGTCCCGTATCGATCATCGAAACGTCGAAGCAAGATCCTCCAACGTCGCACCGGATTCTCGAGACGAAGAACAACAGCCCGAACACGATGATGACGACGAACGAAGGAGCGGCGGTGGAGAATCAACCGCCGCAGCCGCAAAAGAAGAAGAATCCCTACTCGATAGAGGAACTGCTGAAGAAGGACGAGAACAAATCCGCGCCGAGGCGGCCGAGACTGCCCAATCTCGGTGTGGTGCAGCCCTGCGGGATCATCGTCAGTAAAGAGATCTAAGGAGAACCGAGGATGTCGAAGCGCCCGAGCACGCGAAGAAGAACGTCAGGGTGAAACTCTTTGTGTATGCGAAGTACGAACCGATGGTGAATCCTTGCCGATATTGCACAGTGTGGGCGTACATCATCGACTGTAGGTACGTGTGTAGTATTAACGGGTGCAAAGAAAAAGCTGAGAGATATGTGTGAAGTGTTCGATCGATTGAACAGCTCGCTGTCTTGACGCGTAACTCGAAAGTCATTTCTTTGCACTTGGTGAGTAGCCGTTGCGGACGCAGTGAGAGTAGCGAATGTCCTAAGTGTCTAACTTTGAGTATCGATTAAGTATAGGAGTTTGATAGAAGAGAGATTAAACGGATGGTTAAAGGCTTTCCCATTTCTTCCTCGAAAGGGAACGCGGCTGTTTTGTGAAGTTAAATACAAGCCATACGTAATGATAGGATCGATGATATATTGTCGATTGTAACGTAGCGAAGTATACGTAATCCTTGTGTAAGTAAGTTAACTTATAATTAAATTATTTTCGTTCTTTCCGTTCCGCGTTGCTAATCTTGACCGCCGTTTCTCGCCGGATCGACACGCGACTGTTAATCGGCCATTTTAAGACTCTGCTTAAGCCGCGGCCCCGCCGCCTAGTTACTAATCGGGAAAAGAAGCGCTTGGGAATCCAGCAAAAGTTTTCCACCACTTTCACTAATTTATTTCGAATAGTTCGTCGAGTAACGTCGCTGGTTTACCCGCGCGTAATTACCGCGTTAACGTAACGCAATAAATTTAGCACTTTCCGGCCGCTAAGTCGCGCAATAAAACTCGACGTTTGCACATTCCTCTCGAGCCTAATCGAGAAGTACTTCTGCGCTCGCACAATAATCACCGACGGGTACAAAGGTGAGCTGGAATGCCTGATCAAAGTCGACGGTGGAAATTTCAATCTAGCTTCGTTCGAACGTGAACGGCCAACTGTACTTTTGACATATCCGACAGGCCGCTCGACGGTATCGTTTCGCGACAGGAACGTCCGAGGTCTTCAAGGAAATGTACGAACGGGCAATCATGCGTCCGCGCGTCCATTGTGATTCGCGCTTTAGAACCCGATGAAAATAGCCGGCGCGATGCCGTTACACACGGCGTGCCGAGATCGGGCAATTAAACGAAAGCCTAATAAACAAACGGCTGTAAAGCACGCGGATGGGATGTGCGCGTGAGTCGCGGCGGCGGTGCAGTAAAGCCATAAACGGTTCGGTCGAGGGTGTCATACGTGGACACGCTGTGTGTATACCTTGTAAAATACGACGATACGTTGCTTGCGTAAAGAAAAAAAAAAAAAAGAAACAATTAAATAGCGACATTACACCGTGCGGCCAGTAGGGCCTTTCCTCGCATCTCTCCTCTTCTCCACCCCTTTGCATTTACAACGTTGTAAACCTTTGTATCTCGTTCCTCATCGCGGACTAATTAATGCACTATAAAGCGCTGGTGCTTGAATGTCGAACGATTTGCTCGTTTTGCCCCCTCGCGCCCGCCGATTGCAGCGGGCTATTTTCGGAGTGACGTCTCGATCCGCAAGAGCTGCGAGGGAAGAAGCGCGAAAAAGTCTCAAGCTTCTCAAGCTAGCTCGCCGACACTTCCTTTTGTTTATGGAGTTGTGTGAAAAAGGATTTAATTGGCCCGAGAATCCGTAAATGAAGGGAAACGCGGGGAAGCTGCGCGACACAACCCTGTACTTATCGGCTGTTTTACAAGCGAAAGCTATCGCTATTTCCCTTTTATTTGCCATACACGGAGATTATTAGACCTTAAGATGAGTGTGAAACACATCCCGAGGAAGAGACTCGTTACTCGTGTAGGTATACTCGCCTGAAATATTTATTTTAGATTTAGACAATGCGAAGTTACGTGTGAGCATTCCGCGCGTCAAATTGGAAATTGTGAAAAAAAGACGATATAAAATGAAATGTCGAGTATATCCATCTTTGAACATCTCGAAGAGGATTTTTTAAATTTTGCCGCGAACAAGTTCGGAGCTTATTGTTGCAGAATGCTCATACAGAGATCTGATAATTAGAATGATAGTTCTGTACAATAATAATTACGTTTAAACAGTCTCCTTGGTCTTTAACTGACTTTAACTGATCTCTTTACGATTAGAAAAATGAGGGATTGAACTGCGATTTAAATGAAATAAGGAATCTAGAAGGTTTTCAGGACACGATGTAGCGACAGACCTACGGAGACTGTCGCGTAAACCATGCAAATTATCGACTAAATAATACTCGTAATAAACTTGTCCTGTATGATATCATTAAATACACTAGTCAAAATGATATATGTGCCGTGTTTACCTTGCGCGTCTCTTTATGTTCGGCAAGTTTTATGCATGACGAGAATAGGAAAACGACATCGGTACAGGAATAGTTGCATTGCGAAACATGGCCGATGTAGTCATAATCTTTGACAACTTTTACGATCCAACGGTCTATGAATAATCATTGATTTTTATTGAGCATCAACAATACTTTTCACCGAAGGTGAGAACTTTTATGTACAAGATTTTGCTTCTTTACGCGTCATCCCGTTGAATTAATTGAAAGTCATCGGATTGCATAAATCGTGCAGGTAATTAAATTCGGAAAACAGTGATTTTATGGTAAAAAGAAAATTTACTTTACGGATATTATTCTTGGTAAATCATAAAGGCACATTGGTGAGTGATTAAAGACTTAAATAATTACATAACACAAATAATATATTGCTTCGATAATACGGCACGGATTGTGATTTATAACATTTATAGAGCACAGTTTTTTCGAATTATCGTTTAACAGTTAAACTTTATAACTCATATGTAAATGAGTATGAATTAAATTAACGAAATCTCTTAATTCGTTTAATGCATTGCAGTTAGAAACTGATATAAAGCTACACAATTAGAATCTAATTACGTATATATATAAAGACAAGTATAAAATTCTTAGAAGATTAAAGAAAAATTTATATAGAAAAATATGTTTTAGTTCACATTTTCCTGCTGATTGGTCTAAACTTAATAATTATTTATATATAATTGTATATATATATATATGTGGAAAGTCAACAGTTTAAGGAAGACAATTTCTTTCCATAATGTCGATGTAACATAGACGATACATATATGTAGAAATAATCACGGCACAAACAATAATGAACACTCTCAGTCGCTGAGAAACTATTTGTATCTTCGCATCTGCATCGTTTATAGATAAGTTATCGTAAACAACATTTTCCGCATCTCGGATAAAACTTAGAATTGCAAGTAGTTCAAGTGACTGCACTTGAGACGCGGATTCTACAAAAAGTTTCCGGCATTTTCTCTTATGTACAATTACGTTCCGTCTCTCAAGTTATATACAGATCTATTTTCATGCTTGTATCGCAACGGTAAGTTGTCTCACAGCTGGAAATTATGCTGCGAGTGATTGAGAGTATTTGTGGACATCGTGTGCACCGGATGCGACGGCGCCGGGGTGTACAGGCTGTGATGCGAGTGCGACTTTGCACGGGAGAGCTCGCTGTAGCGATCCTGCTCGGGCGGCGCCACCAGGAGCACCGGTCTCAAGGACAAGGATTTGCGAGAACCAGCTACGCTTTGAGCCTCGTTGACGTAGCCCGGATTCACTTCACCTGCGACAAACGAGACAACGATATCACTATGACGATACGTTTTACTCTCTACGAAAAAGAAAGATTAAAAGTTATATCATAAAGCGACGGAAATCCGACGACGATCCTTTTGAAAGAAGTGCCGCTAATTACCTTTGTACAAGGATCCGTTGTTGAAAGGTTCCGGTTGCAGTCTCACGTGTCTGGAGGCCAGAATGAAGGCAAGGGCGGACAAGGTGGCCGCGTCCAAAGCTGCAATTGCAGCGAGCGGTATCGCCCATCTCACGGCACAGGCGCCAGGATTGTATCTGTCGGAAGAATACTTTCTTAATTGTTGCTTTTCGCACGTTCATTCTTATCGCGATTACATGTTTAACGCATAAAGCAGCACTACTGTTGCTCATCGCGTCGCACCGATAATTCGCGTGTGAAAGACGCGTCTAATTAAAAGGTTTCGATGTAACAAGAGCGTGTAATGAGAGCTCGCGAGAGAAAACTTCCTCTTTAACGCTTTTGAGAATTTTGCTTGACAAGATTTTTCATGTAAAAATTCAGTTCTGCATATTTTATTTTGTTCTTCGAGATATTGTGTGCGTTGAAAAAATACGCACCTAGATGCAGCTGCGCCACAAACGGCACGAATCACCGGCGAGTCCCAGCCGAGAGGATAGATGCACACTCCGATCGCCATGCAGATCGCTGAAAAAGAATTCCTGTATTACCATTCCAGTTGCATAAGACGGTATTTAATTATACACATATATATGTGTGTGTGTGTGTGTGACGTTGTCACTCAAAGCTATTAGAGAGAAGATAAACATCGCTGCGATTTGTATTGACTCTTCTCTTTTTCCAGGCGATTACGCTTCGCAGACGTTGCTAAGCACGAAGCGAGTTTAAACGTGAATTCCTCGAGGATTTATTGCGACAAGTCCGATACTTTAATAATACGCGTCGCAACGGGTTTCTTTATGATTCTATCGCTTACATCCGCACGGCAGTTAGATGGAGCAAACGCGTGGATTGCGTTCGCACATTTACACGCGCGCGTGCGATACCTCCGCGCATACGGATGCGATTGTGCAGGGAGGCAACGCGAGGCCGGTAGTGAAAGGGACTTGTAACAGCCGTAACTTTTCTGGGACCCGCTATGTTTTCCACGGTGAGTCGAGAAAATTGTTTTCCTACGAGCGAGCGATTTTTTTTTTTCAATGCATGAATGCATCGCGCACGCTGAAACATATACGTTACGTTCTAACAGAGAGCCCCGATAATTTTTGTAATTCAAATAATTGGAATATCATCTAAATCCTTGGTGATCCTCGATTGTCCTCTTCGTGCTTCACGCTATGCATCCAGCGTGATTCGCGGTCTGTAACTTTCACTGTCGTGATTCGAGCCGACCGCCGATGCTCGCTCGCAACGAATCGCTGACATCGCCGAAACTTTGTTACAGGACAGTTTGACTTATATAAGTTACGTTGAATAAGCAAATTACACGCGCGTTAATTCAAATCAACGTTTTGCGAAGCGTATTGTGTCATTTTCGTAAAATAATTAATTGTGTCATTGCGTATTGTTGAAAATTTATTCATAAATTAAGATTTTATTATACAAGATAAATGTACCACTGGGATATTTAACAGTTAATTATCGTTGAGATATCATTCTTTTCCATCAAAGTAATACTTTTTCAACTTTTCTTATAAATAATAAATATTAATATTTACTTGAAATAAAGCCAAAACAGTGTAATTATTAATTATATATTTCTGCAAAAGATTCTCTGAAGGTGTTGAGAAATTCGAAAGTTTGTTTTTCAATCAAATAAAAATGCTTCTTTTCAGCTTTAAAAAAATCACTTGCTCTTAACAAATCGTTAAAGATTAATTCAAATTGTCACACATAATACAACTTTAGTTCATTGTATAAATTATTACGTAATTAAATGTTACACAACGATTCTCAAATCCTTTAATATATAAATTTAATTGACTAACGTTTATTAAATATTATTTCTAGGTTTTATATTTTTATAAATATTAAATAACAACTGTTTTGTAAATATATGGCCGGAGATTACATGTTTGACCACTGGGACATTCATCTTATATTTGCAATTAAAAAAGTAAGGCGCGGCTTGACAACTTTGATAATTAACTATGCAAAATAAAATATTAGGGTGCATAATTTAGATACTATAATACTATGAATCATACAGTATCTTATCAAGACTGTGTCAAGGATAGATTGTGTCATTGGTGGGAAAACAGGTCATTGGGGTACAAAATTCACATCGATACACTTTACGTATCGAAATTAATCGGGATTAGGATGCAGCTTACGTCTCTCTCTCTCTCTCTGTAAATTATTCCAGCAATATCAACTCAACTGACGATCGCAGGTTTCTGTTAATCATAGAGGCGTTGACGAACGGTATATGCAGACTGGCTTGGGTACGTTATAACGGTCTATTCTACATTTCGCTGGCCGTCGCGACTTGTCGGCGGCCCACGAGCGATGTTAATACGCGATTACAATCGCAGAAGAAGAACCTTCGTACATCGTGATGCTGCACGATGTACTTCAAAGCGTGCGTAAAAGCGTTCCGCGTGTCTTAATAACGCGTTCGCCGAAACGGATTCCCGATAACGAGCGCTTAGAAATCACGATGCGGAAACGCTAAAAGTTACACACATGTCCGGATAATGGTGAGCTATCTGGAGAAAGTATCAATGCATTTAGCGCGAGCTGCTTATATTATCGTCCTCAATTAAAGTTTCAGGTAAAACACAGTTTTTCGTTGACCTAAAAAAAAATTTTTTTTTTTGTGTAAGAAACGAAATATTTTACTGTAACGCTTACTCTTCATTTTTACAGTTTCACAAAAGAAGCAAATGTCCACGTTTCGCGCACGAAGACGTAATATTAAAAAAAAAATTGTACACGAAAGTATGTTTAATACCTGCTATAACGGTTCAGCCAACGTGAACATCTTTAACGATATGTCCATCCATCAATGAAACGGTTATTCTCGCAATAGTACGTTATTATTACTTCAGCATTATATTGCACAATTCTGCGGTTACCGTCCGCTTTCTAACCGAGCAAGAACATCGATCGGGCATTGTTCGCGAAAAGAGGTACGTTCGACAGCGTGAAATGCATCGGAACGTCGATATTTGCGATTAATTTGGAGCGTGTAATTAACAGCTCTGTTTCTCGCCGCGAAATTTTTGCGAAAGAGCTTTCTCGCGGGCGCACGAAACCGTGACACGAGGGCAATTTCCGGCGGCGATCGTGTTAAAATCGTTATCCCCGCCGGCGTGATGGAACCGATCGATAAAGTTCGCCACAATAAAGGCTCGTTAAGCGGAGCGATTGCGTCACACTCCGGCCCCCCCTGCGCGACGCATTGGTGTAATTTGCAATTGCATCTCGCTGATAAGGACTTAACGGCCGAGATTGCAGTAATAGGCCGCGAGACCGCTAAACCAGCCGCGTTGCACTTTCTAAAAATAGACGCGTTCGCGGAAAGTCCCTAGTGCTCTTATTACGCGCACGAGAAATTTAGAATTTAGAAATCAATTGCTTTTTTTATGAGGCGAGACCGCGCTAATTACCTGACACCACTTGCATCCAAGCGCACATGTAGAAAACGGTGGTGCTCTGGCAGAAGAAGAACATGAGCATCGCGCAGATCGCCAGTAGCGCGATTATCACTGCGATGCCGACTAGAATCGTGCTGGCTCGGAAGGGAACGTTGGCGATAGTCGACAGGTCATCCAGTCGGCCGATGCATTCCTCGCCTAATTCACCTACAAAATTATAAGGCGTAAAATATTTTGAATTAGTCTTTAATTAATTGATGATTTAATTTTTGTCTGAGGATTTAAAATGTTGACAAATTGCTGATCAAGAAATATTAATAATTAAGAAATTGTATAATATACAGCGAGTAACAAAATAGATAAAATGTAACATAAATATACACTATCTTATAAATTAAACTAAATTATTAAATGAAAAAAACGTTAAAACACAAAAAAAAAAAAGATTAGTCAAAATAATTTTCAAATTAATTTGAAAATTAAATTTTTTATAAATAGGTATGTGTAAAAATTCTCCAAAACAAACATACCATTACCGCCGTAGCTGCATCTGATCCATAATCCGAATCTACCGGGGTTCTCGTGTTCCAGATCGCCGAGCCATTCGGGTGTGACAAACGCGACGACGCCGATAATGGCATAGCATATGGTGAAGATACCCCACAAGACGCCGATTGCCTTAGAGTTGCGGATGTAATTGGTCGCGTACATGTGCGAAGATTCGACGTACTCGATCTTCGAACCCATCTTGATATCGCGGAATCGATTTCTTTGTCAACGCAAATGATGTTTCAACTGACACGTGGTTCAAGAGTGATTCTTCCTGACGAAATCGTTCAAACATAACATGAACCCCGCAAGTTTCGCGCACGAAACGCAAGAGAACCGCGAGAAGAACCGTCGATTAGATCCGCGGAAGCGATGAGAATCCGCGGCTTCAAGCGCACCGATTCCTCGCGCCGACTCGCGCGGTTATCACAACCCGGGGAAAAGGTCGTCGATCTTGGAACGTATTCTGCACCGTCCAATTGTTCAACAACAATGGAATCGCTGTGCGTAAGACACGCGAGTCCATTCACGAGAAACTTCTCACTCAAACAAAGAACCGTACTTTCGCTACTTTAACGACACAATAATTTCACAATTAATATCGCTCTCCCTTCGCAGGTCCGATGTGAGCTTCATTCAGGATCTGGCGAAATTATCTTCTTCGTTTTTGCAATGGAACGGAGTGGACGAATCTTCACTCGTTTCTCGATTGTTGCTTCATCGCGGATCCCACAGTACTCCGAAATAACAAAACGATCGCACGGTCGTATTAGCATCAAACCGGCAGCAACGCCGTCCGTGACATTTTCATTTAGGTGTGTTCGAGCACGTTCACCGGTCGTTAGATCAGCGCACCTTTCCTCCGCTTGAGCAATGTATCGCAGAAATATAAAGGATGCGGAATGAACTGTTGGCAAAATAAATGAGTGACTCGTTTAAAAATTGTTCAATTCGGTTAATGATTAGTCTCATTGACTAAAATTTACAATTTTTTATTGCAATCACGTTACACTTAAATAAAATGAAAAAAAAAAAGATATTTTCCAATAGACACAAACAGTTTAATTATTTTAGGATAAAAATGATCGCTACGGCTACTTGAGAAACGCGATTAACACAAGACATATTTCTCTTCCGCGTGTCTGCATCCAACTCACCGAAGTGATAGGCGGAAGCGGTATTTCCTCGGAATCCCGCGATTAAGCTCCGAAAGAGAATACCAATGACGTCATCGACGACAGGGCCTTATCGGAATGCGTAGAAGAGAAAGCGTACCAGGTAGAAGCACGATTAAAGCGACAAATGTTACCGGCGCGATCACTATGTTGCTGCGCTGCACATCGCGAGGTTTTGCACATGCAAGCGACGGCGCATGCGACGAGCAGCCGGTTACAAGGACGAGCGGAAAATGCGACTCGAGAGAAAGACGAGGAGCGGCGATACGACAACGCACCTCAAGATGGCCGTTCAGGTGAGCCCGGGTTGCCAGGTGAGTGTGCGCGAGGAGAAGAGAGACGGACGGAGAAAAAAAAAAACTCGGAAGAGAGGGGCCCGCCGCATGAACGGTCCCTCGCGGACTTCGAGGGGCCGCAAAGAGAAAGGTGACACCGAAAAGGTGGCACGTATACTGGATTCGTTGGACCCGAGAACCGATTTCTCTACCTGTGCATAACGGGCCTTTTTGTGAGGCTTATAAGTCACAGAGCTCTGAGAATTATTCGCGGATGTATATATATTTAATATTTTAAAAATCAGATTGAATATTTATGGAGATATATGTATAAAAAATACGATAGTAATATAAATAAATTTTCAGATAATTCGTTTATTTGAAATGTGTCGTTTATTTGAAAGAGTTTAGGAAAATGATATCTACAAGCATAATCATAGAAGAGTTTTTTTATAAATTTTTAAAAATATTTATTTCAAAACGTTTTTCTCTTTTAGCGCATTCGTATTCCATTACGAATGCAACTGGATGTAGCAAAGTTGTATCGGCCGCGTAAACTGCATTTCCGGAGAACTGGTGCTCTCTGGTGACATCTGACAAAACTAGTGACAAAATACAAAATGGCAAACCGCACGGTGAAAGATGCTAAATCTATTCGCGGAACAAATCCACAATATTTAGTGGAAAAGATCATCAGATCTCGAATATACGATTCGAAATATTGGAAGGAAGAATGTTTCGCCTTAACAGCCGAATTGTTGGTCGACAAAGCAATGGAGTTGAGGTTAGCAAAAGCAAAACATAACCTATAATAATATTATTTCATTTTTCTATTTAAATATCGACATTTATATTTTAAAAGGCACTACTGATGTATGTGATTTTTTTAAAAATTAATTGTATTTATTTTCTATTTACCCAGATATTTAGGAGGCGTATACGGAGGCAATGTAAAACCCACACCATTTCTTTGCCTGATATTAAAAATGCTCCAAATACAGCCTGAGAAAGATATCATAGTCGAGTTCATAAAGAACGAAGAATTTAAATACGTTCGGGCTTTAGGTGCATTGTATATGAGATTAACTGGCTCTTCCTTAGACTGTTACAAATATCTTGAACCATTATTCAACGACAACAGAAAGCTCAGACACCAGAATAAACAGGGCGTTTTTGAGCTTGTACATATGGATGAATTTATTGATAATCTTCTCAGGGATGAAAGATCTTGTGACGTTATTTTACCAAGAATTCAGAAAAGGCACGTTTTAGAAGAGAACAATGAGCTAGGTATATTATTTAATCATGTTCTATTTAATATATATATTTCTAGTTCTAATTAATATATATATTTATTTTTAATTGTATTTGTGTATAAACAGAAGCAAAGATATCGGCGTTAGAAGATGACATGGATGATGGTATCGAATCATCCGAAGAAGAAGAGCTTCCACCAACTAAAGAAATACCACGCAAAAGACTAGATGACCATGAACGGGACAGAGATCGTCACAGGGACAGGGACAAGAGACATCCTCGGTCTGATAAAAAATCTGAGAAGGAAAAACCTAGATCGAGAAGCAGAGAGAGGGACAGAGATAGAGACAGGAGAGAGCGTAAACGCAGCAAATCTCCGAAATCTCACTCTTCATCGCACAAAGATAAGGATAGAGACAGAGATCGTCACAGAAGAGACGATCGGGAAAGAGAGAGAGAAAGAGAAAGGGAAAGAGACAGAGATAGAAGGAGAGAGCGCGATAGAACTAGGCATTAAAATGTGACAATGTGGAAGACATTTTGTCAAGTACTATTTATACAAATTGGATAAATAAAAAAGACAAATCAATAAGTAATCCTTTTTTTAATCTTTCTTGAATGTATTCAACGCTGATATAACGGTTGCGGGAATTCCGTATTAAAATTATAATACACTCCCGGAATCAAATCTGTATAAGATGCTCAAATATATGTACATTTTCACATTGCTTATATATTATATATTACAATTGATCTATTAAATAAAAAAATAGTGAATAATATCGTTACCAATGTATAACAATGGACGAATAATAACTATATTCCTGCCCTTAGAAACTTATGCATTGTTTTGGAATTCTTACTGCAATATATCTTGCATATTGCTGAAATGACGTTTGGTCGATGAATATTTCCCTCGTTTTTATATCATATTCTCGAAAGATACATGCTCCTATATATTTCATAAAAACAAAATACTTGATGTTTAAAACGTAGGCGAGTTCAGAATGAATAATCTCTCTTCTTCCTTCTTTATCCACTTTAACAGCTTGCTCACTGCCTCGATAGCGTCTGGTTTCGTCACCAAAGGCTCAAATGTTACATATAATTCGAAACCAGAAGCAACCTAAAAAAATTTACGTATTTAATCAAAGAAAAAAAAACTTTCTGCATACTTTCTTACCCATGCCAACATTGTTTCTTTATCCAATTGCTGAAATATAAGTTTCAAGGGTCGACTAGGAGAGTGCAATCTGTGATGCAAACATTGATAAAGACCTAGTAATCTGAAAAAAAAACCCATTTTATATATCTATGTATTTGATCACAGGTGTTAAATCGTTTAGTGAGATAAGTTTAAGAATTTACCGCTCTATTTCTTCATCTGTTGTATAAGGCGGTTGAAGTCCGGGGCTCCAAAATTGCGCAGTACTTTTGCATTTATACAAGACATGTCGCATCTCGGGTAGCCCAATGTCAGCAGTTGTTATCGTTGGTTTGTTCATAGACTCATTTATCGCTTCCAGGCAATTTGTCCGCCGCAATTTTTCTACAATTTTCTATTGAGAAAGAAATATATATATATGTGTATAATAAATTTATATTCACATAATTTTGCAGTTAATCGATTTCACTTTGCGCAATAATTCTTACTTGTTTAGCCTCTGATAGCACAAAAAATACATCTCTATCAACTGTGAGTAATAATAAACACGCTTGGCAATCTTCTGCCAGATATGAAACGTGACCGTGCATATATCCATTGGAGTCAAATTTCGGCAAACATATCGGCGTCCAGCTTTCAGCGGTTTTAAGAGACTCTGAGCTGTCTACCAGATTTTGTATTATGTGCAAATCCATTGGATGTAGGAAAAATTTATTCATTCTAACTAGTGTAACCAATTGATTGTTAGCTAAAAGTATCGCAAATACTAAATTCTGAAAAAAAAATTTTTTCTCTTAATAATATTCATTTAGTTCCAGAAATACATATAAATTCTTCAAATGTGTTGTACCTTGATTTTAGCACACGTTTGAATAATAGTTTGTGTAATGGAACTTCTCATAGAAGGAAGCAAGGGCAAACATTTGATAGCCCCTAAAAAGAAAGCTGGCTCTCTGTCCATAAAGTTTAATAAATGATCTATCAGTCTTTCACTGCCGCTTAGTAATCTTCTTAGATCAAAGTTTCTCCTCTGATCATATACTCTATTTAGTTGAGATTGTGTTAACACAGAGATTATCTGATTATATACATATCTGCAATAAGCAATCAAGTGTATGAGTATCAAAATATTTTATAAAACGATATTGTTTTTATAATCAACACATACGTTAATTGCAAAGTGAGCTGAGGCACACTTTCCAAAGTTTTGGACACTGCTACTAAAATCAATGGACCCTTCACAACGAAGACAAAGTTTGTGTCGCCTGCATGTACCGATCTAATCATATCACTGCCTGCTTGAACAAATGACACTAGAGCTTGCATAACTCCCATAACTGTGACTAGCTTGTCTTCTGAACTGTATCTAGAATATATCGGTTTTCCTGCCTGGCTCAAGATGAAAATATGCTTTTTTTGCGCCAGCCATGTCTTGCAACGCAGTGGGTCCGCATCTATGCTGCTTTGGCCCAAATGATGCGTGACTTCATCCTGAAATGCACCAATTAATACTATTTACTTCCAAAACAATTGGATTACGTATGATGGAGTCTGGACTGCGAATTGATTGGCAAAAGAGATTTATAAAAACTGAACCATTTCGGCATCGTCCAGAGAAAGGGTTTTCTCGGACTCTTGCGGACTGACGACGTTGGGCGTCGTGGGAATGTCTTGCACATTGTCTTCCTGGATCTCGGAGATGGTGCTGTTGGTGCTCTCTTTCATTTGTCTGTCACCGTCGATGCTGCTGCTCATTTCCTGCTCGTATTCGTCGAAGCTGTCAGTGGTGACCAACATCGTCTCCGTGGAGGCGCCGGGCTCAATTCCGGGTTCGGCTATGCCATCATCGATCGACTCAACAACGTCGGTCGGTTCCTTCGCGGCCATTCTCTACGACCGGAAAACTCATCAACAAATCACTACAACACAATTTTCGTTAAAATTTGACATTTAACGGCGGCAGACCACCACAGGCCGGCCGCCATTGCATATTAACTCATCGCGAAACTGTTAGGTGCGCTGTAGTGCACTGCTGATGAGGAGAAGTTTATCTTATGCGCATTACACAAATTTAAATAATCAGATAAGTAAGTTTGATGTAATTTTTTGAAATAGTTCAATTGTCATATCGTGAATCTCAATGTAAAGATAACCTGTGATCATAAAAATTACAAAAATGACGCAAATATCGCGCGATCATAAGAATATTTTCAAAAGAAAGAAAAGAAAAAACATGTTAAAAATGTGTTGCATAATATTTATATATTATGTCACAAATATCTATATCAGTCAGTGTATTGATATACAAGTTTGCCCATGTTTGATAATTTTATTACATGTACATATATCTTTCCTTTGTAAGCATTTTTGATCAATATACTTACAATTAGATTGATAAAATAAAATAAATTTGTATTTGGCATTGCAAATAGTTGTCAAAACGAGAAAGCAATCATCAACCATTTAGAATGCGCTGATAATATTGTTCCATTATTCAAACAAATATTAGTACCAAAATTTTCCTAAAATAGTAACATGATAATTTTGTATGCAAGTATATATAAATCTTAATAAAACTAAATATATAATATTAATCAAATTGTATCAAATAAAATACTTTGTTGTTCTAGTCATTGAATATACGTAATACACATATAATAACTACAATTGCCATGTAATCATAAATATTATGCTAAAAATACTATGTTTACTGTATCTTTTATAAGAAAAATTAAAAAATTTGTTTTTAATAAATTTCATGTATTATTTTAGTAATATTTTTTGCTTTTTTTATAATGTTATTATAAATACTTTAATAGAGTGATAAGCTTCTATAGAATCTCACATGTCAACGGATATGAGCACCGTTATAATCAAAATGCTAATCAATTTAGTAAGCCACAAACTTCCAGGAAGAAAAAATATCGTCATCCAAGTTAGTCGTCTCGACATTCAGTATTTCGGTGGATTTTGCATTGTCAGTATTTAGCAGTTCAACGATTGAAATCGGGAAATTGTTGAGATTTTGTAGACCCGTACATGAATGCTTCAGAATTTTTAACGACTCTCAGGTGAGTGAGACAACCATATAAGACATTTAATTTAGAATAATTAATATTTTGCGTAAAAAATTTATTTTAATAAATATATCGATAAGTAAAATTTATATGCAAGATTCATTGATTTTAATAAATAATATGATATATATAATAATGTTATAATGCTTTTTCAGACGCGTGACGCAACTTCATTATACCGCTTTTTGCTTTTCATCTCATAAGCAACTGTTGAAAACAATCCATAATTATATGCAAGGATGTATTCTGAAAATAATTTCGGCAAAGATTATCAGCATATCTAAACACGAACTACGATTGCGTGTTTGTAACAACGAAAGAGATCTTGATGAAAGTTTGCGACACATGACCGAATATCTTATTCGTGATATCGAGATAATGTTGATACGTGACATGATGCTTCATTCACTTGTGAACATAAGTAGAATTAAAAAATTCAATGACTTATGTAACGAAGATATTGTAGGCAGACATTTTCCCATAACTGACTGCATAAAGCAATTTTATTTTTTTCTTCAGCTAGACCGTAGAATTGTAGATGGCATTAACACCTTTTTGAATTTCGGAAAGTACGGTCTGCCAATTTTTATTATTCTGGGTCTTTTAGGAAACTGTTTGTCTGCTATTGTGCTCTTCCGTAAAAAGATGCGTTCTTTCTCATCCAACCTCTACTTGGGCGTACTAACAATAAGCGATATCGTCTATTTGACAACATTACTCATTCAATGGCTTGAATTAATGGATATAAAACCAAAAGAAAATGATTTGTTTTGGTTCAAGATCTTTATGAACTTTCTGAGCTTCATTTCCGAGTTCCTGAGTGTGTGGCTTATAGTAGCCTTTACCATCGAGCGATATATAGTGACGAAGTATCCGCTCTTACGTCGATCCTGGTGCACTGTCAAACGAGCAAAATTCGTAGTGATCACGCTGATGGGAATAGCGACTTTGCGCGGCATTCTATATATGTTTTTTGATATCATAATGAATGATATAATTTAAAAAAAAAAAAAAAAAGTATACTTTCATGTGATCGAATTTCTAAAGTTTCACTTTGAGAAAGGAATTACACAGACTGAGAACATTATAGATTCTATTATAATATTTACTTTACCTGCTCTCGTGATAGTA